CACACACACACACACACACACACACACACACACACACACACACACACACACACACACACACACACACACACACACACGCGCGCCTGACATGCTGCTTCAACATTAACTGCGGTTATTGAAACCACGCCTTCTTTCTTTGCGTGCACATTTGGGCGGCATTATGCTACTATTTCCACATAGTGAGGTAGATATGTGGGGGCGTGTTAGAACGAGCCGTTTTAGGGGGGCGTGGCAGAGTCTTATCTTTGATAAAGAATATCTCTTTGGTTTTGAGACTTTAGTCTTTGCAACTTCAGGGATCTTATCTATGCACAATCAGCTTGTAACACTCCAAAGAGAAAGAACAACTTGAAATCGCATCATATGACCCCTTTAAGTTGTTCAAATGAAGTTCTTAGCAATGCATATTACTAATCAAAAATTAAGTTTTGATATATTTACGGTATGAAATTTACAAAATATCTTCATGGAACATGATCTTTACTTAATATCCTAATGATTTTTGGCATAAAAGAAAAATCGATAATTTTGACCCATACATGTTTTTTTGGCTATTTGTACAAATAGCGACTTCAGACTGCTTTTGTGGTCCAGGGTCTCACATATATATATATATATATATATATATATATATATATATATATATACACAAAATTTTATTTTTTTACATTATGGTTTGAAATATGACCTGGATATGTTCATATTTTAGTCATGTATGAATGATAATAAAGTAAGTAGATGAATTCTGTGAATGTTTGTGTAAACACTTTGACTGCAGGGTTGTGCCGGATGAAGGCGAGTGTGTGTTTACCTCATTGGAGTGTGTGCGGTTCTGGTGTTTGGCTCGGTCCGAGGCGTTGGAGAAGGCCTTGTTGCAGCCCTCGTGGTCACACACATAGGGTTTCTCTCCGGTGTGTGAGCGCAGGTGTGTTTTCAGATTCTCCAGACGTGAGTACGCCTTAGAGCAGCCCTCGAACTGAAACACACACATTCATAAAGCTCATCTGACAGATGCTTTTATCCAAAGCCACTTTGCTTTGCAATTTAAGCAATATTTTTTCCCTGGAAAACAAATCCATGACTTTGGAGTTGCTAGTGCCATGATCTATTGTTTGGAATTCACACAGAATTATGCTTGATATAAAACACTTTAACATGTTTAATGTATATGTGTGGATATAGTTGTTTAGTGTGGGTTTACTTGACCGTAGTTTGTGGACACAAACACAAGTTTTCTTAACTGTAGTTTGAGGACATTGCATTAAAAAAATTTTTTTGGCAGTAGTATTGAGACATTTTTATGTATGTATTTTTTATTTTTTTTTAAATGCATATTTAAAGTATAAAAATCCAAGTTTTCTTAGCTGTAGTTTGAGGACATTTCATGTTTTTTTTTTTGCTGTAGTTTTGAGACAATGTATTTATTTATTTATTTTGCATACATAATATTTTGCAAAAAAAAATTAAGTTTCACAATTGTTTCAAAATTGTATTATTATTTGTTTATATATATATATATATATATATATATATATATTTTTTTTTTCTTTCTTTTTTAAGTATACAAATGCAAATTTACTTAGCTTGTAGTTTTGGGACATTTACATTTATTTAAAAAAAAATTCCAAATATTTTGTATACATTTTTTAAAGTATATATAAAAAAAATTCTTAGCTGTAGTTTGGGGACATTTACATGTTTATTTTTCATGCTTTTTTTAAAGTATAAAAATGCAAGTTTTATTTTATGGTTAGAGTTAATTTGTACTAGGTCTACGGTATGCCCTCATTCAGACAGCTAGTTAACTGTAGGTGTGTACGACTGACTCACAGTGCACTTGTGCGGTTTCTCCCCGGTGTGTCTGCGCATATGAACCACCAGCATGTACTGCGCTTTAAAGGGCTTCTGCTCGCGCGAACACTCCTCCCAGCGGCACACGAACTCCTTCTTCTCCCCGTGGATGTGTTCGTTATTGATGTGCTGCGAACACACAAACACAACAGCTCACTTTCACTCTGTGTCTCGGACGTCTCGCCTCCCCTTTGTAATGTCAGCGTTGTGTTTTAAGGTCTAATTGGCCGTGCTGTTTTCACGTGTCGTGCGAAAAAACAGCCCAATTGGCGTCGTTTGGACGCAAGACTTGAGAAAATAAAGCAATTTGAGCTTCTGAGGAGCCCATTTGCCTATTGGCCAATTGTAGAGCAGCACTATCCATCACGAGCATCTGCGTCCTCCACATCTGTCAGACAGGAATAAGAAAATGTGATGGTGTGTGATTGTGAGAGAGTGTGTTTTTAAACTGAGAAACCTCAGATCTGAGAGAGACACAAATTTGCAATTACTAACACTCTCTGTGTACTTACGCAAACGGCTTTTAAGGGATTCTTGGTAATGTACACAAAGTGGCTCCAGTGCCTTTCAAACGCTGCAGGATCGTCTCTCTTCATTTTTCTTAATCATGTTTGAACTAGCCTCAGTGTCTTTAAATCAACTGGTGTTTTGGTTTAAAAAAAAAAAAAAAAAAATATATATATAGTCTCAAATAGGGTTTCAAAAAGGTGGAAAATTTCCACATTTCGAAAACATTCCAGAAATTTTGGAAACTTTCCAGGATTATTTTTTTTAGAATATTTCAGGGATTTTTGGAAATTTTCCACCCCTTTGCAACCCTAGTCTCAAATACAGGATATATATATGATTTCTTTTAAGCATGCTAATAAAGTTTGAATTGGGTCAAAGGTGTTTTTCTGGTGTGTGTTCACGACTAACTGCTTTCTGTGTGATGGTTTGACGTGCTTTCCTGAGATGCTCTCAGGTCTGCTCTTGATCTATCCCAGCATGCACTTGTCCTGTGGCGTTTCTGTGGCATTCCAGCCGATCAGTGAAGCAGAAAGAGCCGTCCATACCACTGAAACACACTGATTCACTCTCACTGTCTCTTCAGTCACTCAGTGAGATCTTCACTAGATCACACACTCACATCTGTTTACACAAGTGATACACACTGATAACGGCTCGTTACAGGCTTAAAGAGGAACATAGCGCCTGTGTGTGTGTGTGTGTGTGTGAGTGTTTTATCAGTGATCTGGAGCAGTTCAGTGTTGTGCAACATGATGGAAAGTCTACAGATGTGGCCATAATGACGTGGAGGATGTGTGTGTGTGTGTGTGTGTGGATTGTTTCCAGCTCCTGAATGATTCTGAATATTGAATATACAGATGATTAAAAAAAATTAAACATTGAATTATTTAAAATAAGATTCAGATTTTTAATTATAATTAATATTATATATTTATTTTATAAAATATCTATAATATTGAAAATACAATTATGGCTTTACATCAACTTCTAATATTCAACAAATGTCAAATTTTGTTTGGAAATGAAAATTACATTAACCTACTGGACGTTAACCTCCAGTATTTATATTATATATAATCGTTAAAATATAATTAATGTTATATATTAATTATATAAACTATGTATAATATTCATTATGATAAATAGTTTCAGTGTTGAACAACTTTTATTGAATCAAATCTTTTTAGTGATTACTTAAGTCATTTAAGTCTTTATATCATGCATTTATTTTCTTGGATTGTTAACCTGTGGTATTCTAAAGCTGCTCAGTTCCACATGGACAATTCAGATCATCTGCTGAGACAGATTTACGCTGTGGCCTTTGAGTCACAGGTCAAGAGGTCAGAGGTCAGTGACACCTTGTGCCACTCAGCTGCCTCGGTCAAAAATGAGTCAGTAAATTTAGGTAAATGATGGGACACCTGTGGACCACATTGCACACAAAAACAGTAAACGCTTTGTCATAATGTCATGTCCAATCTGATTGGCTGATTTCTCACTATAAATGCACATGAGGCGGGCTCTTCCTGTCTAAGATGCAAAAAAGTTGGCGGTGTTTAGAACCTAATAAATGTTGGTTCTGCTGATATTCATTGATACTGTAAGTTGACCCTGTTCCAACTGAGCGCAGCTCTGAAATGCTCACCTGTGTCAGCCGTCTGTCAGACTATCCCACAACCGCCCACACACACACACACACACACACACACACACACACACACACACACACACACACACACAGAGACATGCATGCGCACGCACTCACACACACACACTCACTCACTCACTCACTCACACACTCACTCACTCACACACACGCACACACACACACACTTACTTACATGCACCAGCTGTTCCTGTGTGTCGTACTCTTTGCTGCAGCTCTCCCAGTGGCAGTTGGTCTCGTATACCACCTCAGCCTCCTGCTTGCAGTCGTCCAAGTCTTCCTTCAGGTCCACTGCGCTTCCCAGATGGTCCTGAGGGGGAACAGCAGCGTTACACATAAACGCTCTTTAGCAGACCGCTTTGTTAGCAAGAGAAAACGGGTCTCATTTGGCATTAATTGCGTGAATTATTTGAAACTGGATTATTACACAAGAGATCTTCTGATGAAAAATTTCCGCCTATTGTTAATGAATTTAGAGTATTCTAAATACATGATTTAATTAGCATAAAACCCACCCTAAACATCTTCATATAAAGGATTTCCTATACAGCCTTTCTTTTCTTACTCTTTATATATAAAACGAAATATATTTACCATTCAGTGTCTATGTATATAATTTCATCTTAACTCATTTATAATGACACCCAGAGTATGTCATTTTTTTGTACAGTTTTTCTTACAATTTTGTAAATGTATAATCATTTCTAGTAGAAAATTATTGATGAATCATATGTTTGTAAAAACATTTGCACACAACAGACTTACAGTATGATAAGAATGTTCAATGATTTCATTGATCAGTTTACGCAATATTTAAGCCAAATTTACACAAATGAAATTTTGCAGTAGTGTTTTTCTTCAAAAATAGTCCCAAAAGGAGCCAAAGCATCAAGCTTTACATATTGGGAAATAATGCACAGACTTAAACGCAACACACCCAGCTGGCATCGGAAGTAAGACACCAACAATGGACAGATGTTACATTTTGGATGGAAATGAAAATCGAGCTGACGTCAAAACTCAACGCTGGCTTATTGTCAATCTCCAGCAATGGCTTTACATTAATTTCTAACATTGAACCCATTGAATTTTGTTTGGAAATGAAAATCTGTTTGACGTCAAAACTAGGGATGTAACGATTCACTCAACTCACCATTCGATTCGATTCACGATTATTATTATTATTTTTTTACAAAATGAGATTTAAGACAAATGATAAATTAAATGTGTCCTTTTATTATTGCTTGGACAAAATGCTGCACATTTCTTTGTGAAATTGAAATATAACGCTATAATAATATACTAATATAGCACTCGCATATTATTGCTCTTTTGTTAGTTTTGATTGCTTCTATTGTCCTCATTTGTAAGTCACTTTGGACAAAATTTAAATATAATGTTAATGTAGTTAAAAACTACATAGAAATTTTAAAACAAGCCACCAAATCAAATAAATAAGTAATACAAATAAAATAAATCTCTTCATATAAACAAAATAAGGCTTTGTCTGTGCTCTTTCCATTTAATATCAGAGGCTAACACTGCATTTTAATCATGATCCAAACAAAGATGCTGCATACATACAACATGAGCAGTTTTTAATCTAAAGTAGATTGAATAATTTCAAAATCTGAAGCAAAAACAGAATGGTTTGACTTCAGTTTTGTGAAACACTACATACAAATATCTGCATGAAACCAAAACAGCAGACGAGCTGAATGAGACGCAGATTCAGTCTCTGCCAGCAGGTGGCGCTTAAAGCATTTCCTTGGTTTCCGCTGAAAACAAAGCAGCGCTGCACTTATGAACTTTAATATGCATTATACAGAGGCAAGATGAAAAGAAAAAATACCATCTAAACTTTTCTAAAGACAGTACGTTCCACTCAGACATGCATTCTTATAAACTCCTAACCCTAAATGAATCGTGATTTGTTTAGCATCTCAACCCATTTGAATCGTCACATATTTGAATCGATTTTCAACCGGCTCACGGTTAATCGTTACATCCCTAGTCAAAGCCCAAAGTTGACTTGACGTCAACTTTCAACATAGGATAGACATTAAAATTTGGTTGAAATAAAAATAGAGTCAACATTAAAACCCAATGTTGGCTTGTTGTCGACCTCCAACTTTAAACACATGTTGAATTTTGGTTAGAATTGAAAATTGGGTTGACATAAAAGTTCAAGTTTGGCTTGATATCAACTTCCAAAGTTGAACAGATGTTGAATTTTAGCTAAAATTGAAAAATGGGTTGACATCGAAACCCAAAGCTGACTTGACGTCGACCTACAACAGACAGACATTGAATTTTGGTTATAAACGAAAATTGGTTTGATGTCAAATCCCAGATTTGACATAAAGTCAGCTTTCAACAGTGGACAGACTGGTTGGAAAAGAAAATCAGGTTGACGTTAAAACTAAACATTGGCTTGACGTCAACCTCTAACATTGGCTTAATGTTAACAATGAACACAAGTTAAATTTTGATTGGAAATTAAAATCGGTTTGACTTCAAAATGTAGCATTGGTTGGACGTCAACCTCCAACGGTGGACAGACATTGAATTTTGGATGGAAATTAAAATTGGGTGACATAAAAGTTCAATTTGGCTTGACATCAACTTCCAAAATTGAACAGATGTTGAATTTTAGTTGAAAGTGAAAATTGGGTTGAGATCAAAACCTAGAGCTCACTTAATGTCAACTTCCAACATAAGACAAACGTTCAATTTTTGGTTGGAAATTAAAATCAGATTGACGTTAAAACAACGTTGGCTTGAGGTTGACCTCCAACATTGGCTTTATGTTAACACTGATCACAAGTTACATTTTGGTTGGAAATGCAAATCAGGTTAACGTCAAAATGCAACATTGTTTTTACGTTACCTCCAACACTGGACAGACGTTAAATTTTGGTTGGAAACTAAAATTGTGTTGACGTCAAAACCCAAACATTAGACAGTTGTTAAATTTTGATTGGAAACCAAAATTGTGTTGACATACAAAATCCAATGATGACTTGACATCAACCTACAACATTGGACACACACTGAATTTTGGTTGGAAGTGAAAATCGTTTTGACGTCAAAACACGACACTGGCTTGATGTCAGCCTCCAACATTGGACAGACATTGAATTTTGGTTAGAAACTAAAATTGGGTTGACATCGAAACCCAGCGTTGATTTGACGTCAAAAGATGATAAATTTAAGTTTTTCGACTTAAAACCAACAAAATATCAACGTCATCTGTCATTACTATTCTATGTGAAACTGACGTTGGTATTAGACATACATTCAGCCTATTTTCAACCAAATATCTTACGACATTAGCAGCCCACTGTGCACAAAAAATGCATGCAAAACGTGGTGTTGTACTCTATATTGGCACTCCCTGAACGCTGATATATTATTTGTAATATACAACATTGGACTGACGTAAAATGTTGGTCGTAAAAAAATTGGGTTGACGTCAAAACCCCAAACACCGGACAGATGTTGAATTTTGTTTGCAAACGAAAATCGTGTTTACATCGAAATCCAGCATTGGTTCAACATAAAAAAAACATTGAATCTTGCTTAATACCATGACTTAAAACCAACAAAATATCAATGTCATCAGTCGTCATTTTTCTACGTGAAAGTGACGTTATATATTCAACCTATTTTCTTTGCCATATTATCTTTATTAGTTTTATAACAACAACAATCAAACAACCTGACCCCCCACCCCAAAAAAACAAAAAACCCAGACGAAATTATAAAGGACAAAAATGCCTAAATAAAATACATAAAATGAATATAAATCAGGGACAGGGACAAAAATCACTACAAAAATCATAGTATAACAAATAATTACTAATAAATACTATAAATAGTATAATAATCTTTAAGTTCTACTATTATGTACATGTTGGAGGAAGGGACCCCAGACCTTGGAAAAATTAAGAGACTTGATTCGTTAAGCCGAATTTTTTCAAGGTTTAAAACAGAGACCAATCTCCACAAATTTTCAACCTATTTTCAACCAAATATCAACACCTTATGATGTTAGTGGCCACTGGGCAGAAAAACGATGTGCGAAACGTGCAGTTGTGCTCAATATCGGCACTCCCTGAATGCTGATATATGATTTACAACGTACAATATCGGACAGACATAAAATGTTGGTTGAAAACAAAAATTGGGTTGACGTCAAAACCCAAACACTGGACAGACGTTGAATTTTGTTTGCAAACGAAAATCCTATTGACATCGAATTTGACATTAAAAAAACGTTGAATCTTGCTGACGTTAGGCAGACAAACGGCGTGCGAAACGTGCCGTTGTACTCTATATCAGCACTCCCTGAACGCTGATATATTATTTACTCGGCCAGATTCGTAGTACGAAGACGAAGCATTAATTGTGCGCTTGTAGGAACGCGTGTGTGGTGTTAAGAGCGATCGGACTGCTGCACTGCTGTGGGTAGCGATGCAACACACACGCGAGGCGTGCTGACTGCAGCATGTTTATCTCTGCCCCGTGAGCTATCTTCATCAATTCTGTTGGCCCCAAGACGACGCCAGCCGCCTTATTCCCCATGCATCAAGCACCAACCAGCCTCACCGCCAAGAGCAGCCGCAGATTTGTCAAAAGATGAGCCGTGCGAGAGAGAGAGAAAGAGAGGGGGAAAAAACTCTCAGGTGACAATAACGGCCGGCCAATATTTCATTAAAATGAAGTGCTCTGGCACAGTTTACACGGCCGCGAGAGAAACGCGGTGAGCGAGCGAGTCAGCGCGTGTAAAGCTCTTATCAGCTGGAGTTTTTCTTGCGCGGCGCATGCGAAGAAAGGGGTCAGGGGACGCCAGCGGCTCCCGGGGGCCTCCTGGCCCGTCATTGATCAGTGCGGAGCATTTCCGAGAGAAAAATCCAGTTTTTTTTTCCTGGAATAACAGGACACATGGGCCTTTTGCTGCCTGTTGTTTCTGTAAGTTTTCTGTCTTCTGTTCCATAATCTAGTCAGCTGCCTACCTAGACAGCATTTTAAGAGATCATAGATTATTACAAGCCAGATTCAATAGAAGCATCTCAAAGCTATCCAAGAATGCACGGCTACAACCTTAGAAAAAATCTATTATGCATTCAAGAGATGCTCATTTTAAATGTATATTATTCAATAATGAAAAATATTGGCGCTAAAAAATTGTTATAATAAATCTAATTAAAATGGAATGTAACATATATGAATTAATTTTTAAATACGCCACAGACAAACAAACATTATTGGTTTAATATTTTTGTTTTAATATAAAATATGTATAATTATTGTAACATTATATATTAATCTAATAAATTATATTTTATTTTAATATTTACTGCATATATTTTATATGTTTTTGTAATATATTATTATATTAATACAATATATTCCACTTTATATTAATATTAAAATGTAGTATAATTATAAGTACATAATATAAGTATAATATATTAAATCTGCAGTGAATATTAATCCAAAATTAATTAATATATAATAAAATAGTTAAATCTAATTAAAATGCAAATTATTATAATTTATGTTACTACTTTTAAAACAATTTTTAAATACTACAATACACTGCACACACAAAAATAAATATAGTTAATTACTTAATTATATTAATATAATCCATTCTACTTTATATTAATATTAATTACTATTATAAAATAATTCATGAATTAATATGAATATATTTTAATGACATAAATTTATTTATTAATATTATATACTAATATAATACATTCTACCTTAGATTAATATTAGTATAAAAATATTCAGTAAACATTAAACTTTAAATTATAAATTAATTAATTAATATAAATATATTCATATATTCATATAACAACATTTATTTTCTCTTTATATTAGCATGTGATTTACTCAATATTTATGTGTGGGCCTTGAACTTCCAGTTGATTTAGGATGTTAACTTTTTTTTAAGGTTTTGTGACAGAGCCACAGTATTTTCTTACCGGAGAGCAAGGCGATAAAGGTCGCGGCCTGTCCAACTCTGCCTTGACCTTTGACCTCTTGTTGTTCAGGGGGTTTACCGTGCTGCTGACTGCAGAGTCGTCATTCGTGTTCTAAAGAAGGAGGGAAGGGAAGCGAGAGCAGCAGTCACCGTCTGCAATGAGCACATGTGCTGTGAACGCAGCAGAAGCGTTTAGCTGCGACCCAAAGTGCTGACAGAGTTTGTAAGCGCTGTGTGGTTCTGCTCGGCTGAACGTGACAGCAGCACAACCACAGCCAGCAACATGTGCTCTCATGATGAGTGTGCAGCTTCAACTCTCCACTCTAATAATAATCAGGCTGGGCTTATTTATTTTAAATGTATTTATTTTTTCCATTACAATGCATTATTAATGAATGAATAATAGTTTAGTCTGATTATAAATAAAACATTATAATAAATTATGCTAATTTATAGTAAAATATTTGCTTAATGTTATGAATTTATGTATTATTTGAACAGCACCTTTAATAAATATTTTTATGTATAAAAGGTGCTATACAAATAATAATAATATATAATAATTTATTGTAAAATAATAATAATTATTAGTAATAATAATTGCATAGCACCTCTTATAGATAAATAATTTTTATGTATAAATGTTGCGTATACAACTACTAATTGTTATTATCAGTACAATAAATATAATATTATAATAAAATAACTATTTATATATTTATTTTAAGATTATTATTACAACTAGAAAAATAATATAATAAAACATAATAATTTATAAAATATTATTATTACTGCTTCTATTCATATAGCACCTTTTATATATAAACTAATTTTATAAATAAAATACAAATATATAAATACGTAATATAAATATAAACAATTAATGTATAAAAGGTGCTACACAAATGTATTAATAAGTTGCTTATAAATAATAATAATAAATAAATAAATAAATAAATAATAAATAATTGTTATTCAACAAGAATTAACATTTTTATTATTTTATTAATAATAATATTATTTGTATAGAAATTTTTATACATAAAAATAACATTAATAATAATAATAATAATAATATAAAATATAATAATTTATTATAAAATATGTATTTATTATTATTACTTCTATTACTAAGTATTATGTATAAAAGGTGCTATACAAATATATTAGTGCTGTCAAATTATTAATTGCATCCAAAATAAAAGTTTTTTTTACATAATATATGTGTGTGTGCTGTGTTTATTAATTATGTATATATATAAATACACACATTCAGTATATATTTGGAAAATATTTACATGTATAAACATTTATATAATATATAAATATATTTAATATATAAGCATAACATATTTTTCATAAATATATACATGCATGGGTGTGTATTTATATATATATAATAAATATACACAGCACACACACATATATTATGTAAACAAAAACTTTTATTTTGGATGCAATTAATCGCGATTAACAGCATTAAAATATAATAATAATAGTAAAAATAGTTTTAAAATAAACGATTTAACCAATGATTATATTTTCATTATTATTATGTATTTGTATAGCACCTTTTGTACATGAAATTAATATCAAATGAAAAATATTAATTTAATATAATATAAAATAAAAATGAAAGTTAATATTATTAAACGAATATAAAATGAAACGAATAAAAAGCATTGTGAGAAACTGACGGAGGCTGATGAGTGTAACTGGTACCTGGGTCTCGGGGTCTCTGGCGGAGGGCGTCTGCAGGGAGGAGAGGCTCAGCGGGTGTCTGCTGGAGAAGCTGGGAGACGGCTGGAGGAGCGGCGGCGTGTGTCCGAACGCACTGAGGCCTCTCTGCTGGGACAACAGCTGCTGATACGCCACCGGATTGATGGAGTGCGGGAACGGGAACGACGGACTGCAGGGAGAAAAAAAAAGCACTAACATTCAATCCGGTCTGTACCTGCAGTGTTGCCAGGGCCGCGGTTTTCTTGGCTAGTTTTATAATGTACTGTACTGTAAGTTTATCTATAGACAAATCGGTGATTTCAGCATCTGCATCTCCCTATATGTGACCCTGGAGCACAAAACCAGTCATAAGGGTCAATTTTGTGAAATTGAGATTTATGCATTAGGACAATATTTGGCTGAGATACAACTATTTGAAAATCTGGAATCTGAGGGTGCAAAAACATCTAAATATTGAGAAAATCATCTTTAAAGTTGTTCAAATGAAGTTCTTAGCAATGCATATTACTAATCAAAAATTAAGTTTTGATATATTTACGGTAGGAAATTGACAAAATATCTTCATGGAAAAAAAGTGAAGTGACATGTGGCCAAGTATGGTAACCCATACTTGGAATTAGTGCTCTGCATTCATCCCATCCAAAGTGCACACACAGCAGTGAACACACACACGGAGCAGTGGGCAGCCATTTATGCTGTGGCGCCCGGGGAGCAGTTGGGGGTTCGGTGCCTTGCTCAAGGGCACCTCAGTCATGGTATTGAAGGTGGGAGAGAGCGCTGTACATTCACTCCCCCCACCTACAATCCCTGCCGGTACGAGACTCGAACCCACAACCTTTGGGTTATGAGTCCGACTCTCTAACCATTAGGCCACGACTTCCCCCAAAATATATAATATCCTAATGATTTTTGGCATAAAAGAGAAATGTATAATTGTGACCCATACAATGTATTGTTGGTTATTGCTACAAATATCCCCCAGCGACTCAACACTGCTTTTGTGCTGCAGAGACACATATGAGGACATGAACACATGAAGTTCATCTTCAGAGCCTCTCCGAGAGGCATTTCAGGGCTTTTCACCATTTCATTTGAAAAACTGGACAACAAACGTGAAGGAATTTTTAACAGAAACATGTTACATATGACAAAACATGCAGTTTTGTTATTTTTTTTTTATTATTTGGCAAAAATAAAAATGCAATGTTTTGTTACATTTGATTATATTTTAAAAGATTGATTAAATTGTTAAAAAGTTTTAGTAATCATTTCATTAGACACGTTTTTTGATGATACATTTGTATTAAATAATCAAATACAAACTAAATAAAACGGAAAAGAATTTAGGGAAAATCAAAATGGATTTTATGGGGTCCTAAATTAAAATTCTCTCATAGATTTTGTTACCATTGCCATGCATTATACGACTGATAGACTGCAACGGTTAAAGTTAAAAATCAAAAATTAAAAATTTGGCTATTTTTCAATCTTTTTGGCCGGGTTTTGAGTAAGCTTTGGGCTGGACATTTTTCTGGGACCTGGCAACCCTGTGTACCTGATGCCTCCGACGGACAGGTGCCCATAAGAGCTGCTGGCGGCCGAGCTGGAGCGAGAGTTGTTGATGTAGGCCACCAGAGAGTTGGGCGAGGTGCGGATCATGGTCTGCAGGTCGATACTGGCGTCTGAGAGCGGAGAGATGGACAGAGCTCGCTTCCGGCTCAAGCGCGGCGTCAGACGAGGACTGGGAAACCGCGACACTGTTGAGACATCAAATCAAAATAGATTTTACTCTCTTAATAAATGTTTATTGTGCAATTCATCAATTATTAATTTTTTAAAATTATTTAATATTATTTAAAAACCAGTTAATATCAGTCAATCAATCAAAAATATTAAAAATATTACTTTAAATAGAATATGATGTTATAATATATATATATTTTAAATTAAATATTATTTAAAATAAAAGATTGTATTTTTTACAATGTGTAAAAATAATTCAAATATTTAAAATATTACTTTACAAATAAACAAGTATTTAAAATATTCTTAAATATTTAATTTGCCCCTACATTTAGGTAATTTGTTAATATGGTGTATTATTAATATATTGTTTTATAATATTAATAAAAAAAAAAGTTTTAATATTATATTAAACTATTAAAATATATATTTATAATGTTTACAAATAAAAATATATATTTAATTAGAAAACAACATTGAATTATTCAATAATTAAAGTTCCCCTACTGTTACTTTGGTAGTAATATTGTGGGTAAAAAAAAAATCTAAATTTATTTTACTTTCCTAATAAATGTTTATTGTGCAACTCATCAATGCAAATTATTCAGGATTTGAAATCCAATCAATATCAACCAGTCAATAAAAATATTCGAAATTAACATTTTATAATATTATTTAAAAATAAAAAATAAGTTAAAATATTATTTTAAATTATTTTATTTTTTTACCATTTAAAAAAATATATATTTAAAATATTATTTTACAAACTAAATATAACTTACAAATAAAACCAGCTATTAAAATAATTATTAAATAATATCTAATAATTTAATAATTAAAGTGCTCCTACAGTTACTTATGCTTTGGTAACATTGTGTGTAAAAAATGTAATCTAATTTTATTTTACTTTATTAATAATTGTTTATTGTGCAATTCATTAACACAAATTATTCTATCTATCTATCCATCTATCTATCTATCTATCTATCTATCTATCTATCTATCTATCTATCTATCTATCTATCTATCTATCTATCTATCTATCTATCC